TATCTTGGGCTAATATTCCAAAGGTCGTAGGTTCGAATCCCGCCGTGGCCAGGCATATTTTTCAAGCCTGCCCGGTGTGGATATACACTCAGAGTAACATCACACAAACAACTGTTTGGAATTTTGAAATTTTATTATTTATTTTTAAAATTTCAGCGATTTCTCGGTCCCGCAGAAAATCCTCTGTCTAAGTAGGCATAAAAATTAGCCGAATGCAAATACATATAATTTTAAAAGTGTTCAACCAAATTTTATGATTTTTTCGCCCACGCGAACGTGAAAGTTATTCTACTTTGAAACGTACCTGGTTTTATGATGCTTTTACAAAACTATTATGGCAAACTTTAGCAATAACACTCTCCAAGTCCAAATACGGCTTCGTACACATACCAATTTCGACTTTAAATTTCTCAAACGTGGCTCCTAACTGGATTCGAAGTGACTAATATGGTTGAAAAAAGGGAAGTTTGAAATACCAATATCCACAATAAAACTTGTTACCAACCGCGATTTGAAGACTCCAGCGCCTCTGATATTAGTTACCTTCAATTATCGCAGAGTTGAGACGTCAGAGCTTTCAGTCATTTATTAGCAGATTTTAATTACTGTCATTTATTAGCAGAAAACAATTACTGTCATTTATTAGCAGAAAACCAGAAACATGACGAATTGTCTTGTTTCTATAGCTTCTCTTCCGTGTAATGCACAGCAATTCCATTAGTATATATTTGACATTTTTGATTCCCAACTATATCTTCACATGATACTATACCTTATAGGGGTAATTTACGCATTAACAAAACGCTCTATGGAGCGTTAACTCGCTGGGGCTGTAAAGCGAAGCGCGCCATAGAAGGGTCTGGAAAGGACTTTGGAAAGTCTAGGGCTGTACAAATACGCACATTACTTTATATGATGCCAGATACAGTACACAAATATTTCTATAGACCTTTCCTCTTCTAAGTGAAATTTTGATCTACACTAGCGTGGACAGAAATTTCATCACAGCTTGACAGGGCCGCCGAGAGGGGAGAGGGGGGATTGCCCCGGGCCACGAGGTTCTGCGGGTCCCTAGAAATTTTTTGGTGGGCACCAGTCATTTTTTTTGCGCGAAATATTTCCGTTTTTAGGCCACAATATCTGTTTTTTTCGGGCAAAGAACCGAAATTTGGTATGAAAAATTTGCAGTAATTTCTGACAAAAGCATTTACGACGTACTCGTCCGGAAACTTTTTTGAATACGGTCCCCTAAGAAAGATTTGCCCCGGGCCCCCGCCAAGTTCTCGGCGTCCCTGCAGCAAAGAATAATGCACACGGAAGGTCGACTCGAGTAACCGCTGCCACGCCATGATTCATCATCAAAATGCTGACGCCATGGTCCTAGCCAGTGCGGGTTTGAGGCATTCCCCCCCTGGACGTCCGCCATTTTGAATATTATCAGGGGGGTGAATGGCGTCAGCATTTGATGACGTCAGCATTTGGTGACGAATTACGGTTACGCCAAAATCATAGGAAAAACAAAGAAGTCGCCCTTCTGTGTACGTTATTCTGCGCCTGCAGCTTGAAAGAGCATGACAAAATTAGTCATATTTAAAATGCGGATAATATAGCGATGCGAAGTTTGCCGTTTTTCAGTCATTTTGTATTACAAATGGGAAATTGACCATCAGTTTCATTATCTGATTATCAATTTCCCGTTCGTACTGCAAAATGACTGAAAACGGCAAGCTTCGCAAGGCTATATTTTCCGCATTTTACAACTTTTTGCAACAAAACTTCGGAATATTACTAATTCTGCAATGCTCTTCCAAGCTGTAATGAAATTTTTGTCCAGGCTAATCTAGATCAAAATTTCACTGAAAAGGGGAAAGGTCTATTAAGATCTAAGCCTGACCCCGAGCTAAGCGGAAAAGTCGAATACGAGTGCGAAAGCTTAACACACTAAAATGCGGTACCTTACATGTCAAGCTATTCTGTGCTACAAGTACCAATAAAATTCCGGCGTTTATGGCCCACAAGTATTAAAAGTTGTATTTTGTAGAACGCTACATTCTTCTGTTGGCCGCTAGTTTAAAACGTCCAAACTAAAATATTTTTGGGCTTTTGGGCTTGAAATATTATCAAAATAAAGAGAGAAGTTAGACGAATCTACTGGTATACGGCCGAACAAGAGAAAACCAACGATACCAAAGTTATCAAGGATCAAACATATTGCATTTTATATAATTTTTATAATTTGAGCGGTTTGTCAACAAATAATACAATTTCGCTTGGCTTTCAAAGACAAACGCCACAAATCGCTAGAATACTGTTGTCATGATCAGTTGTTTAGTAATACAGTTGAAACCCGTAGGTACAATTTCTCATTCACATATAAGTACAATTTCTTACGTTGAGTACAATTTCTTATATTTTTATCCGCCATTACTTATTACTATTAGGCATTACAAATACAAGGTCAAATACAAGGTCGGACAAACGGCGAGTATTAAATTTGTCAACAATAAAAATGTCGCTTGATTTTCAAGGTCCATAAATCGTTAGAAGACTGTTGTTTAGTGATACATTTAGCATCCGTAAGTGCAATTTCTTATGCTGAATCGAACGGTGGTATTTTTATCCTTATTGGCTATTGCGCCATTACTGTAATAGGCATTTATACAAATACAATATCATATTTCACACTGAGTACACTGCAGTTTTCACGGACTGTTGTTCGATAAAATTCATATCGATATGACACGAATATGCTTCTCATAAAGTAGTTATTTATTAAAACTACGTTGTGCAGTTTAAGTTATAACCTTTTACCTTGAAATTGTCTTTGGCTCGTTTATATTCAGATTCAGTAAATTATGATCGTGCACGGGAATTCCACGATCCAAATTTCGGATTTTCAGAGCCGTGCACCAAGTAAAACGCATTAAATAAACTAGCAGGAATGTCCACAGTTACACACAATCCAAAATCAATAGAAAACAGGTACAATTGGTTCAAAATTTTCACGAAGTTGTTGAAAACATTTTGCCCACTCCACGAAAGTCCCCGCCATTTTGAAGGTCAAGCAGCTCATTAATATTCTATTTTGTGGCTATCGACGATCGGAGATTCGAGATTGGAGATTGAAGCCGAAACCTATACTCGCCCGGGGCACAGGTGCCCCAGCGAGTAATTAACATTCCCCACTTTAAATACATCGTGAACAGTTTCTATCATTTTTCTTGCCGACGTTTCATATAAGAGTCTCCACATGACCTGGCCTACCCACACCCCCAGTACGACTCTCCCCAATCCAACTGTACCCCAACCTCGCGTTTTTGTGACGTCATTTGAAAACTCTTGTATGAAAATAAACTGACCCTTTATTAGCTTTCCTTAAACAATTCCAGGTGCAGTTGATATAAAGGTCCTCAAATAACATCATAATAGAGGTGGGGTGGGTGTAGGGTAGGGGTCAGGATAGAGTTGGGGTGGGGGTCATTTGGAGACTATTCCGTATATGACTCTTTTATTAAATTTCAGCCAAGCCCTGGTTGAAACACTAATAAAACCCTTATTCAAACTATAATCCAAATCCAATTTAATTGGCATGCACGTTTGCAACTGGATCTTTTTATAATAATCAGTATCTATAGTAATCTTCTAGATCAAGTCTTTTTTTTAGTTTAAATCAATTTCTAATCGTGCAGAATAGACATACAGGGTTTAGATTAATAAATATCAGCATTGACAATAATTTCCGGGTTTTCGCCGAGAAGCTAATTTTAATACGAAAGCGTACCACGTTTACCTCTGCATCGATCAAAATCTTTTCGAATTAAATCCACTTGTGATGCTCATGAACACTGAAAAATCGAATAATATTAACGGCTTGTGTAAAAAACCGGACCAACAGCGCATTTTACAAGTGACTGGAAGCTCTGACGTGTCAACTTCGCCATAATTGGAGCTAAACAAAATAGGCAAATTGTATCAAATTTCAGAAGCTGTCGAGTCTTCAAATCGCGGTTGGTAACAAGTTTTATTATGGATTTGGGTACTTCAAACTTCCCTTTTTTTAACCATATTAATCACTGAATCCATTTAGGTGCCACTTTTGAGAAATTTAAAGTTGAATTTGATATGTGTAAAAAGCCGTATATAGAGCCGATGCTTGTAATCGCTAAAGTTTGGCATAATCTTTCTGTAAAAGCATCATAAAACCAGACAAGTTTAAAAGTAGAATAATTTTCACGTTGGTGGGTGAAAAAATCATAAAATTTGGTTGAATAGTTTTAAAATTATATGTATTTGAATTCGGCAAAGGATTTTGAATAGGCAGAGGATTTTCTGCCAGACGGCGCGGGGCCAAAAAATCGCTGAAATTTTAAAAATTAATAAAATTTCAAAATTCTAAATAGTGTTTGTTTGTTCATGGGGTAAATACATTTCATTGTAAAAGTAACGAAGAATTTCATTTTTTGAGCCGAGAGTCATTGGTCGGTTCTTAGAGAGACAGCCTCTTAAGTCTCTAATATAATATTGTTGAGCACAAGCTCTAGATTGTGTCACGTGTTCAGCAAGGGGACCCGCACGTTTAGCAATCTGCTGTAAGGTATTTATACAAGTTTCGTTTTGCCTGTCGCTAAGTTTTGTGCAATCAGCCAATTGGAGGCCAAAAGTTAAGAAAAACTTGGACTGTGCTTCTTTGATAGAGTACTAAAAATATAGTGCATTAATGGGGTTCATTGTTATAAGGAATGACGGAAGTTCTAAGCCAAAGCTTTTTGCCCGCGCCCTATCCCGGGAATCCCCGAAAAGAAATTGACTTCTGCTGCAACTATTTTTATTATAGATATATAGATATGGCAGTCATCCCACCCCTTGTGAAGCAGGACGTTTTCAGCAAGTAAAATCGTTGATACGATTTGGTGTTAATGATCCTGAATTTGACAAGACAGTTATGACAGAATGTTAACTTTGCGGCATTATCTTGTTTACTGGAGTTTGTCAAGTTCAGCATGCGTAATGTTAATAAGACAAACGGTGATGGCAATACAGCTCTTCATAAGGCAGCAGGTTCTGATTCTCTAGAGATTCTCAAATATCTAGTTGAACATGGTGCTAATGTTAATCAGAAAAACGGTAATGGCCGTACAGTTCTTTATAACGCAGTATATTCTGATTCTCTACAGATTGTCAAATATTTAGTTGAGCAGGGTGCTAATGTTAATGAGGAAAACGATAATGGCAGTACAGCTCTTCACAACGCGGCAAGACGTGGTTCGCTGGAGATTGTCAAATATTTAGTTGAACAGGGTGCTAATGTTAACGAGAAAGACGGTGATGGCGAGACAGTTCTTTATAACGCAGTATATTCTGATTCTCTAGAGATTGTCAAATATTTAGTTGAACAGGGTGCTAATGTTAATGAGGAAAACGATAATGGCAGTACAGCTCTTCACCTAGCGGCAAGTGATGGTTCTCTAGAAATTTTCAAATATTTCGTTGAACAGGGTACTAATGTTAATGAGGAAGACGATAATGGCCGTACAGTTCTTCACAACGCGGCAAGACGTGGTTTGCTGGAGATTGTCAAATATTTAGTTGAACAGGGTGCTAATGTTAACGAGAAAGACGGTGATGGCGAGACAGTTCTTTATAACGCAGTATATTCTGATTCTCTAGAGATTGTCAAATATTTAGTTGAACAGGGTGCTAATGTTAATGAGGAAAACGATAATGGCAGTACAGCTCTTCACCTAGCGGCAAGTGATGGTTCTTTAGAAATTGTCAAATATTTCGTTGAACAGGGTACTAATGTTAATGAGGAAGACGATAATGGCCATACAGTTCTTCACAACGCGGCAAGACGTGGTTCGCTGGAGATTGTCAAATATTTAGTTGAACAGGGTGCTAATGTTAACGAGAAAGACGGTGATGGCGAGACAGTTCTTTATAACGCAGTGTATTCTGATTCTCTAGAGATTGTCAAATATTTCGTTGAACAGGGTGCTAATGTTAATGAGGAAGACGATAATGGCAGTACAGCTCTTCACAACGCGGCAAGACGTGGTTCGCTGGAGATTGTCAAATATTTAGTTGAACAGGGTGCTAATGTTAACGAGAAAGACGGTGATGGCGAGACAGTTCTTTATAACGCAGTATATTCTGATTCTCTAAAGATTGTCAAATATTTAGTTGAACAGGGTGCTAATGTTAATGAGAAAAACGATAATGGCAGTACAGCTCTTCACAACGCGGCAAGACGTGGTTCGCTGGAAATTGTCAAATATTTCGTTCAACAGGGTATTAATGTTAATGAGGAAAACGATAATGGCAGTACAGCTCTTCACAACGCGGCAAAACGTGGTTCGCTGGAGATTGTTAAATATTTCGTTGAACAGGGTGCTAATATTAATGAGAAAAACGGTGATGGCGAGACAGCTCTTCACCTAGCGGCAAGTGATGGTTCTCTAGAAATTGTCAAATATTTCGTTGAACAGGGTACTAATGTTAATGAGGAAGACGATAATGGCAGTACAGCTCTTCACAACGCGGCAATTCGTGGTTCGCTGGAGATTGTCAAATATTTAGTTGAACAGGGTGCTAATGTTAACGAGAAAGACGATAATGGCCACACAGTTCTTTATAACGCAGTATATTCTGATTCTCTAGAGATTGTCAAATATTTAGTTGAACAGGGTGCTAATGTTAATGAGAAAAACGGTGATGGCGTGACAGCTCTTCACAGCGCGGCAAGATGTGGTTCGCTGAAGATTGTCAAATATTTAGTTGAAGAGGGTACTAATGTTAATGAGAAAAACGGTGATGGCGTGACAGCTCTTCACAGCGCGGCAAAATGGGGTTCGCTGGAGATTGTCAAATATTTAGTTGAACATCATGCGGATATAAATTGTAAGAGCATGAAAGATAAAACTGCTCTTCACTATGCTGTTGAATTTGGCTCATTGGAAATGGTGGAATATTTTGTTGAGAATGGCGCAAATGTAACAAGAGAAGAACTCCATGACGAGAAAACAGTTTTGTACCTGGCTTTTGCAACAAACAATGAATTTATTTTTTACTACCTTCTCCAACATGGAGCGATAAAAGATATGCATGTCTACGATTATTCTAGCCGTTCATTTTTAAATATAGCATGCTATGAAGGCCGAACTGCTCTAGTTGAAATATTACTAAAGTTTAACGTGAATATGCGACAAGAGCTAGAACTTATATGTGGCAATGATGAAATCATCAATATGCTCAATCTGGAGTTAAAGAAGTCTATTAAGCATCGTGACAGCATTAAGAAATTGAAAGCATTGGACAAACAAATGTTGACAAAGGTAATGTATTTTGAAGTGTTTAGGTAGTTGGCAACTTTGTTTCAAATCTTATATGACATTCGATTGTCAATGTATCAGTGCCTTTTTTTCGTAGAGTAACGCCTGTTTAAATAAGTTTGGTTCTCGCTTTTTCAAACTAAAGAAGTTCCCGAACATGTTTTCATTAACTCTGCAGCAAGTATTCAGGTGGTCGGTCCCAATTTTGGAGTAGAGGTGTAAGGCCTCCTTTTGGGGGATAATGCCACTTATTGTTGCATAATGTCCTCAATGTTGCAAAACATTCCTTCGACTACTTAGTAGATGCCAGTTTTGGGCAATCTTCATCATCCAAATTCATCATCTACTCAGGATTTTTTTAATGAAAACCTGGTTCGCAATTGTTTGCAAGTCCAAAATTAACATTACTTAGAACAGGAACGCCCCACTATAGAGGAGGTTTCCCTCAGATTGCTTTATTCCAATTACAGACCCACGCCACTCCTTGGCGAATAATTGCTGCGGAGCGAGCGAGCTTGAAGCGAGCGAGCGAACCAGCAATCTATTTTGTGCAGAGCGCCGTCTGTCAGTAACTTTTTCCAGCGCGTTGCATGATGTTCAAGCTCAGATTCCATGTGCCTTAACTCACAACATCATAGACAAGTAGATTAGTTTTAGTTTCTTTCAATACTGTGTATATATATGTGGTAAATGCGCCTAGCAGTATTAGACTTAATATGACATCCGGTAGCAAAAACCTGTGTTATAGCTGCCGAGCGTACTAGTGAGCTTAAGCAAACGACGTTTTTTCAACACGGACGTCACTCCAAAATTGGTATAACTAATTTTGGCGGCATTTTGAATCATAGGGCTCGTGTAAGAAAGCAAGAAAAACTTTAAAAACCTTATGTTTTCTCATATGTGTTCAAAATTCCCACAAACAGACTTCTTAATCCAGTCCTTCCTGGGTAATCTGACGTCGGTGTTGACAAAAACGTCGCTTGCTTAAGCTCGCTACTATTCCTGACACCCGGTGGTTTCTCCAGAGTTCGCTCGACCCAGTCTTTCGCGCGATCTATGTATCGTCGGGATCTCGATTTGTGTCTGTCTTTCTGTCTGTAAAGATGCATTCCGGGTGGAATAATTAAGGTTACATTATATGATGAGACTCTGATTTTGTCCAAAACATTTTTTTTATAGATTTATATTAAGTAATGATATATCTCTCAATTCCAGCAACTTTTTTAAGAAAATGTTAAAAAGCGACCGAGAAATAGGGGACAATTCTATGAACATTGAATAGCTTCGTGCGACACTTGTAATTATGATTGATTCGAATTGTCACTCTGCCAAACAAAAGTGTGAAGTAATTTAGTTTGCTAGCGTCAAATATCAAGGTGTGAAATTCCCTAAAGTATAAGTGGTTAGTTATTGTTCGGAGGCATATATCATTGCGACAACATTAGAAAGCGTATAATAATATATAGTATTTACAGAATCTCTCCGAGTTCAAGCTATGCGCGATGTCGGCTTCGCGGAGCGAAAAGGCAAAGACACAAAGAAAGAACACTAGTCCGTTTTGCTCTCGCAGGAAAAGAAAAAGTGGTGTCAAGCGAATTAGTATTGTCGAAGTAAACGGAGAAGCGTTGAAGACGAGTGACAAAGGGTCTTGGTTCGATCAGGAAAAACAGTGGCCACGCGAGGTGGGCAATCTTAATTCTTCAACCGAACTGGCGAGTACATCTGTGTCTGTGAGTAAAAGGAAACTAGAAGAAAGTAAGAAAGTTTTTCTTGGCGAAAATAACGGCGCTGATAATACTGATTGCAGCACTGAGTGTTCTAGCTCAGACAACTTCGAATTACAGGACCACGAGGACGAGAGAGCCCATGTAGAGTCTGCTTTCGTAAAACCCTGTGGAAATTACATCATTAATCTAGACAACTTGCAAGAGATTTTGGATTCTTTTGCTGTTTGTAAAGTCTCCAACCATTCCCTACAAATTGTCGATAAAGCTGGATCAAAGCAAGGTCTTGGAGCTAAATGAAACTTTCGTTGTACGAATGAATCGTGTGAATCTCTTGAGACATTCCAACCTCTACCAATTTCACCAAAGATTGGGAAAATCTGCGAAATAAATCGTGCGTCAGTTGTTGGTTTTCGGGCAATTGGGAAAGGCCGATCAGCAGCCGAAAAATGCTTAAGTTTTCTCGGTCTCGCTCCTGTTTACACCTGGGACAAGCATACCAAACTCATTGAAGAGAAAGTGAAAGACCTAACTGAGACTGATTTTAATCAGGCTGTCTCACAGCTGAAGCACCTAAAAAAAACAACTGGTGTAGTGGCAGATTGTACGGACCAAGAACTTCAAGAAACAGCGATTGATATTGGTGCTAGTTTCGAGTGCTCATTGAGCTCAAGAGGTTGGTTTGCGCGAGATGGTCTTGTCGCCGCTGTTTCAGAGGATACAGGAAAAGTATTGGACGTGGTGTACCTTACGAGGGAGTGCCAAAAATGCAAAGAAATGGAGGAGAAACGAGCTACAGTGTGTGTGTGTGTGTGTGTGTGTGTGGTGGGGTGTTAGGGGCGGGAGGGTCTGAGTCTCAGACCGACAATCGACAGATTGTGGTGAACATGTTCCCTCCCAATTCTTTTATACCACACTCAGATTAAGACAACTGATAATTTTCTTATCAGATGCAGTACAAGATATTACCAAACTGTTACATTTTTAAATTTCACTGGAGATTACTGATGACTAGTAAATTATGCCCTTGTTTTCACATTGCTGGTAATCCTATTTGATTTTGTACTCTGTAGTACCTAATTGTTAATGTATCTTAAAACTATTTATTTTAGGCAATGGCATCATCTGGAGTAATGCAATTATATCATCGCTCACACTGTTAATTTCAGGGTGTTAAAATAGCACCTCGGGTGGTGTTAGATTAACACCAACTGGTGGTGTTAAACAAAGGTGTTATTTTAGCACCATTTTTCGGTGCTAATTTAACACGACATAAATAAAAATATTTTGCAAAGTGTTAATTTAACACTCAAATTGTTTAACACCACTTTAGAGGTGTTAAAATAACACCCACTTAAGGACAGGTGGTGTTAAAATAACACCGGTTTCTGGTGCTAAATTCTTGGTGTTAAAATAACACCATAAGTCGTGTTAAGAATTTGTATTCCCCAGTGTTAAATTAGCACTGTTTGTGGAGTGAGAACATGGGTGTTAAAATAACACCTTTTTGGTGGTGTCAAATTAGCACGCAGCACGAGTGTTAAAATAGCACCTTTTTGGTGGTGTTAAAACTGTTTGCATGTGCAGTTAGAATAACATATATTCTTGAACTAAAACACTTTTACAGTATAACACGGTCTATAAACACACGTTTTGAGCCTGGTCTACCGTCACAGGCAAGGGCTGGCCGATTACAGGTATTTCGCCAAATTAATTAATTGGCAAATATTTATCCGAATATTATTTACTGGTAGCATGAAACAGCCGCATATTAATTTACTGGCAAATTATAAACCATTTCACAAATGAAACATTTGAATTCAGAAGTTAATAACTAGACATAATAATAAATTAACAGAAATAGTTCCCAAGTCACATGCATGTGTCATGTATGTTTATGCATTTCATCATACAGATTGGAAACTGGCAAAATTGGACCTCAAAATTTCGCATTTTAAATATTATAACACGCTATAATTTGCAGCAGAAGTAACACAATATGAAGACTAGAGGGCACTCAGAGACTGCATACCTCCGCCCGTTACTCGGAAGTGAAAGACAACCTTGGAATTTCCTAAGAAATCCACTTTACAATTCTTAAGCATAAAAGATTTCAGGCCCCCGCGAATTGAAATCGAATTGCTAATAGAACATATTACTGTTGTTGTACTGTACAGTACTTGTAAAATAAAAACTTATTAAGTGTCATTAAATAAATGCATAAATTTTGCTTTATGCACTCGCGCGTGCAGTAATTTTCACCGTTGTGTTATTTTAAATTCCCAGGCAGCTAAAATCTTTTGTCTTTAAAACAATGTCGATTTCTTGGGAAATTCCGAGGTTGCGTTCTTTTTATACACCCTGTATTCAGAGGAGGAGTGAGGACTATACCGGCATGCAACGCGGTCAGGCGCGGTTTATTACATATTATCGATTTCTCGTTCTGCGCCGTTATTGTTCGGTCGGCTTTCGCTGTGTTTACACCTCGAGGCTTCGATAGATTTCAGAAAAGATTTTATAGAAAAAAATTGTAAAATGGTGAATTTTTGCACTATTCCTGGAAACAAAGCTTCGTTTTTGGGTGGACACGAGCTTCTGTTTGTTCACTGTGTGTCAAAACAGCCTTTAATCTTGATTCCGGAAGGATTAGTGGATTACCGTGTGATGAACTTGAATGTAGTGAGGTTATAAATGTTTATAGTTTTATGGATAGTTTGAAGAATAGTCCTTTGTCCAGCTGTGGCGAAAAAATGATGAAATTGTTCGCTGATTGCGGTAGTCCTGCACTGGTACACATTCATTCTAGTTGTGTTTTTAAGGTAAGATGATTTATATAAAATAGAAATATAAAAATGGTCTCATACTGTATTTAATATACTAAATTATATAAAATACAGTCATCTATGATGTGATTGATATATTTCGCTTAAAATTGTTGTAATACAGCAGTATTTAAACGTATTTTTATTTCATATCATGTAGTTCTTCGAACCTAATGATCCACGGCCGGGAAGGAGGTAACAAAGTATATAACAATGTTATCATTGTTATGTTGTGGGAGTTTGATATTTCAACATCACCAACATCCCAAGCAATCCCACCATGTGACCCAGATAGTCAAAATGATGAGCTGGACAACTGATTGTAATTGTTTTAATTTACCAATAAATCCTGTTTGCCCTGACGGGCTGACGGACATTCATACACACCGAACGATGGGAGAAGCGCCCAGTGGTAGCAGTGTTGATGCACTTGATGGTGAACCTGAAGGAGGGGCAGTGAATGTAGAGAATGAAATGGAGAAATTCAGCACTGTTACAGCACTATATATATATAGAGTATATATGTATTGACTATTGTGTGATGCATTGCAAGGATTTATTTTTCTGATCAACCAGTTATCTATGCTCAAAATATGATCAACCAGTTATCTATTATTTTACTTTGCCTAAAGCCAGATTATTTTACTGTCTAACACTAGACAATTTACTCATCAGGGGGAGAGTGCTGACACTCAATGGGTTAAAAAAAACATTCAAACAAAATGTTTGGCAGAAGCTGCAAAATTGTTTATTGGTGTCTGGTGTGATACTGACATTTCTTTTATTTGTAAGGATAGAGCTGGAGAGCTTCTAGTTGTACAGTCTTGGCCCCAATCTCCTACCCAGAGCAATGTCTGTGCACAGGCTAGGAAGGCATTGGCTCTGGGGAAATAGATTTTTTCCTGTGCTGTGATTGGTTTAACGTTTATCAATAGTGCATGCCGACAAACAACCGGAACCCCTAAATTTAGGGGTTCCGGTTGTCTATTTCCCAAGAGCCAATGCCTTCCTAGCCCACGCACAGGCATTGCTCTGGGTACGAGATTGTCTTGGCCCTAGCCCGGTTTTCCTATATTGCATTGTTTTCCTCACTTCCCTGATTCTAGCATAAGTATTGGTATCCCATGGACACCATCTTATCAGTTTTGACAATCTATGTATGGTTTTCATGATTTTCAATGTTTTGTCTTCTCTTGCTCATCACAAATGGATCGTTCCAGAAAAGATCCACACTCCCCCCACGGAGGAAATTTCTGCCGTCCGGAGGGGGAGGGAAAAAAATTGTTTCTGATAATAGTAAATGTATTAGGACATCTGAAGGGGGTAGGGGGGTTAACTTCCAATTTCCCCTGTGGGGGTAGTATGGATGTTTTGTGGAATAACCCAATTAATAAAAAGATCACACACTACATAATTGATGTTGATAAAATTTATTTATTTTAAAATCAAAAAAATATTAACATAATATTACTGTAAAATGTCACATTTCACCAGTACACATGAATGGTATATGATGAAGTATATGAAAGGCGATGCTTTTGCTCTAGCTTAATGATGTATTAAAACAATCTAGATTGTATTACATCACATAATTGTTAAACCTCTTTAATCGTAATCATTTGCATGATTGTCTGCAACAGATATTAATTCAATGAATGCTTTATCTTCCTCAAATGTCCATTTATGAAGTTTTACTGGGGATTTCTTTGGAGGAGTCGGTTTAATCTTTCTGATAGGAAACTACAAAACAAACAGCAAACATGAGAGGGGCAATGTCAGTGCCAGCACTATTAGACAACAACAAAGAAACTCATAGCTTTTTAGCAGGATTGTGGGCATGCTTCTCCAGGAAATTTGTGCACTATATGTTTTCTGAAATGCCACTCCCAGCATTGAAAAATATCATTGGCGTACGGGTGGACAGAAATTGCCCGACATTGTCATGGGTTTATTGATAGATGAACAAGAGGTATAAAATAAATTAGGAACATAACTATTAACTCCTATGCAGACTTCCAGAAATACTGTTTAAAGTCAATCTTAAACAATTTCCTAATTTTTAAAGCAGAATTCTGCCCAACTGAACACTGACTGGAGGGGTTGCAACCCCCAGCCTTGTATGCCTATGGACAGAAATTCTCACAGGCAAAAAAGCATTAAATTACAATGTTATATGATAATAACTTTTACCCCTCCCCCCCAATTAACATCTCATTGTCTCATTATAAACCCATTGAGTGGCAGCACTCTCCACTTGATGAGTAAAATCGTTTGGCGTTAGACAGAGTAAAATACTAAAGTAGGCGCATCAGGGTGCATTGCCACTTAAAGGGTGAAAATACAATGTTTTTTTTAGTACAGTCACACTGTATTTTTACTATTTTATGTTTGTAAAAACCTTTGTACTTTTTATATACCTTTGGTGACGTTCCAGGACTCAGAAGCAAAGTTCGACTTAATGTTGAATTCTTCAAACGTGAAATTCTGTGTCTATTATTATTAGGTTTCCCTGGGGTATCACCTTTGGAAGAATATACCCGTTTTATAGCAGTTTCATTCCAGTTTTACTCCAAAATAGCCGAATTCTATAATAAAATGAAAAAATACAGTCAGTGCAGCATAAGCATATCTAACCTTAGAAGTTTATATACATTAAACTTAAAATATGTAGGAACATAATTATATGTGTATGTTTCAAAATTATCATGGAAAATAGCTAGGAAAATAGTGATTCGTACAATAGTTTCCTTCGCGCCATGTTAATTGTCATGCGGTCTGTTCCCGCCATCGGCAATAGAATATAGCAAAAGTACCCCATTTTCAAACCGCGATTACTAGTCAATTTCGTCGAGCTACTTTGAGTTTTAAAGTACCAATTGAAAGAATAAACCTTCCTTAATTCGATGACGTGTTTTATTTTAATTTCCCTTCAAAAAAATGAATATAGCTTCTGCATTTTTTGAAAGCCACTTTTGCGGCGTGTCCACTGACCCGAATCAAGCATAAATACAATACGTAATTAACATAACTAAAAAGCAATTCCTGTACCAAACAAGTCAAAAATAGTTTAATTAGGTTCTTAAATAATACAAATATAAAAACATACCTTCGAAAAAACGAGATATACGGAGCCAAAATCGCAATGTATTTCAACAACTTTTCGCCAAACGTTCGTTGAAAATCGTAATTGTGAATAATAATGAGATGCAATGCATTGTGGGAAGACCCTCATTCCTCCTCTGCCCTGTATTGAAGTAATCTAATGTTGTTAGAATTTGAATGGACTGGCACTTTGCTGAACGTAATAATGCGTAACTCCGTAAGCCTTGTTTTAGACATTGAATTTCGGTCGCGTGAAATGCAACTAAGACAATAGATAATGAAGGCCGAAGCTTAATGAGGTTTATCATCTCATTATTGCCTTAGCACTGAGTGCATAAATTATACACGTCCTAATTACGCATTCAGTAATATTTTTGTTAATTGACCGGGAAAAGCAAGACAAAATTTTGTTCATTTCTCGTTCAATTTTTAACCAAATTCAACCAAATTTTAATCAGTTCTTCCTTAGCCGATGGGAAATGCATTCAAAAAATTTCGTACGGATATGTTTGGTATTTCTTGAGTTATCGTGCTCACAGACAAACACACACACACACA